GAGATAAACACTATTTTAGCATCTCTGGCACAGTCTCAAAATATAATTGAGGACATTGTTAGATAGAACGAATTATCTTCCTATCAAGATGAGAGCAGAATAACGTATGGATGTTTTTGATAGAGCAGTTAGCAATGATAGGTACGTTCAATGTGTCCTCGGCATAAAATGTTACAGGAAGAGCTAACGACACCATCTGTAAGAGAGCTGGAATTCCATAGGCTGGCTCTGTATAATGTAACATATCGATTGGAAATAAATTTCTGAAACTCCTTCAATATCTTCCATATAAACTCTTTGTGGTCGAAAACAATTGGAATACAAACAACATCTCGAAATTTAAAAATAAGTGTTATGCACAGTTCAGAGTATATATATGTATTTGACATTCTGAAATTATTGAGTATATGAAATTCACGAATTTTAGTAAATTACGGGGTTAGAGCATCTAAAATTTGACATTTCTTTCGATCAGATTGTATTTAGAATCAATGACGGCTCCTACAACGAAGAAAAAGCCGCATGATGCAGTTAAAATCATTGTCCGGACCAACTGTATCTAATTCTAAATTGGTAGTGAAATGTTCTATTCACTTGTGTGTCTGTACAATGACCTTTAATTGAGAAGCAAACAAAACTCTTGTGTATCATCACGCTACCTTGCTTCCTGCAAGTAAAACAAAGGAAATAAGATATCCTTATTTTTTCATTCGTCCATCACTTTGAATATGACTTAGTCGCCTCCTAGGTTTCAAATCATCACTGACGAGTCCTGACGAAACTAACCGTAAGATGCATTGAATGCGTTATCTGGCTCTATTATACGCACCTACTCTGCGTAAATTTGTCTAAATTTGCACCAAAATGTCTGATTCACTTGTGTGTCTTCTCAAAAGACATTTTCCATGAACTGTGGCCCTTTAGAAAACATGCGTTTTAGCTCTGAAACTCGATGAATACCCATAATACAAAGAGAGATTTCCCGTAATTTACTGTTTGGTTTTAGACCGAACGACAACAACTTTATTGTACACTTAACGTTCATCTGAACACAATCTGGAATCCACAGAATTATCACAAATGCGGTTCTTACTCACCTATATTTTTTTGTTAGGGCATCAGTGGTTGGTTATGAACAAAGAGGCAATAGTACCTAAAACAAACAGTCACGTCACAATCATGTCTATTTGGAAGCTTTTGTGTTGTCCAATTGCAGCAGAAAAGAATCGAGCCCCGAACTTCTTATTTTCAACAATTGGAAACGGTGTTGCCCCGGCCACTTTGTGTTGAACTTAAGCTTTCAAAATTTCATTGATGCCATTAAAGATGAACTAGGGAAGCATAACCAAGTCAGGTATTGGAGGAAATGTCCTTGAAGATGTGAACATATTACAGGAAAGATAGAGACAATTCTAGAGAGAACAGTAACAAAAATGGTGTTGGAACTTATGCCTGTTGTATAATTCAAATACACTGATCGGGAAAAAACAATTTGAATTAAGTGTAGAAAATTAATCATATAACACCTGATTACATGCGTGTCCATTAAGCATTTTTCTTTTGATAGTTTCAGACGCGAAGAAAAAATCTGAAGTCACAAAGAATTAGAACAACCAACCAATTCTGTCTGCTGTGAGGCAAGTTTGGCGAGAAATAGTTCGTCAACCACACTGATATACATTTCAGGTACGATGTATATAAGAGATAAGCTCATTAAACATTTTCATCGTGATTATTCTCACACAAGTAAGCGAAGATTGTGCCCAAGCCATCCTGATGTTACTGGTTTTAAAACAATCTAATAGTTTCTTCATAGTGTGAAGTCAAACTGTACTAAACTATAATACATATTGAGCGTATTGGGACACAATTAACCACAAGACACATTGAGCGTATTGGGACACAATTAACCACAAGACACATTGAGCGTATTGGGACACAATTAACCACAAGACACATTGATCGTATTGGAACACAATTAACCACAAGACACATTGATCGTATTGGGACAACACATTGAACCACAAGACACATTGATCGTATTGGGACACAATTACAAAGACACAACCACAAGACACATTGATCGTATTGGGACACAATTAACCACAAGACACATTGATCGTATTGGGACACAATTAACCACAAGACACATTGATCGTATTGGGACACAATTAACCACAAGACACATTGATCGTATTGGGATACAACTAACCACAAGGCGCATTTATCGTATTGGGACACAATTAACCACAAGACACATTGATCGTATTGGGACACAATTAACCACAAGACACATTGATCGTATTGGGACACAATTAACCACAAGACACATTGATCGTATTGGGACACAATTAACCACAAGACACATTGATCGTATTGGGACACAATTAACCACAAGACACATTGATCGTATTGGGACACAATTAACCACAAGACACATTGATCGTATTGGGACACAATTAACCACAAGACACATTGATCGTATTGGGACACAATTCGTAACCACACAGACACATTGATCGTATTGGGACACAATTAACCACAAGACACATTGATCGTATTGGGACACAATTAACCACAAGACACATTGATCGTATTGGGACACAATATTAACCACAAGACACATTGATTGATCGTATTGGGACACAATTAACCACAAGACACATTGATCGTATTGGGACACAATTAACCACAAGACACATTGATCGTATTGGGACACAATTAACCACAAGACACATTGATCGTATTGGGACACAACTAACCACAAGACACATTGATCGTATTGGGACACAATTAACCACAAGACACATTGAGCGTATTGGGATACAATTAACCACAAGACACATTGATCGTATTGGAACACAATTAACCACAAGACACATTGATCGTATTGGGATACAACTAACCACAAGACACATTGATCGTATTGGGACACAATTAACCACAAGACACATTGATCGTATTGGGACACAATTAACCACAAGACACATTGATCGTATTGGGTATTGGGACACACATTATCGTACAATTAACACAAGACACATTGATCGTATTGGGACACAATTAACCACAAGACACATTGATCGTATTGGGACACAATTAACCACAAGACACATTGATCGTATTGGGACACAATTAACCACAAGACACATTGATCGTATTGGGACACAATTAACCACAAGACACATTGATCGTATTGGGACACAACTAACCACAAGACACATTGATCGTATTGGGACACAATTAACCACAAGGCGCATTGATCGTATTGGGACACAATTAACCACAAGACACATTGATCGTATTGGGACACAACTAACCACAAGACACATTGATCATTGGGACACAATTAACGACACATATTGGGAACTAACCACAAGACACATTGATCGTATTGGGATACAACTAACCACAAGACACATTGATCGTATTGGGATACAACTAACCACAAGACACATTGATCGTATTGGAACGGAACACAATTAACCACAAGACACATTGATCGTATTGGGATACAATTAACCACAAGACACATTGATCGTATTGGGACACAATTAACCACAAGACACATTGATCGTATTGGGATACAACTAACCACAAGACACATTGATCGTATTGGGATACAACTAACCACAAGACACATTAACCACAAGACACATTGATCGTATTGGGACACAATTAACCACAAGACACATTGATCGTATTGGGACACAATTAACCACAAGACACATTGATCGTATTGGAACACAATTAACCACAAGACACATTGATCGTATTGGGACACAATTAACCACAAGACACATTGATCGTATTGGGACACAATTAACCACAAGACACATTGATCGTATTGATCGTATTGATACAAATTAACCACAAGACACATTGATCGTATTGGGACACAATTAACCACAAGACACATTGATCGTATTGGGACACAATTAACCACAAGACACATTGATCGTATTGGGACACAATTAACCACAAGACACATTGATCGTATTGGGAAACAAGTAACCACAAGACACATTGATCGTATTGGGACACAATTAACCACAAGACACATTGATCGTATTGGGACACAATTAACAATTACAAGACACATTGATCGTACACAATTAACCACACAGACACATTGATCGTATTGGGATTGGACAATTAACCACAAGACACATTGATCGTATTGGGACACAATTAACCACAAGACACATTGATCGTATTGGGACACAATTAACCACAAGACACATTGATCGTATTGGGACACAACTAACCACAAGACACATTGATCGTATTGGGACACAATTAACCACAAGACACATTGATCACAATCCACAAGATAAGTACTTGGGACACAATTGATCGTACAACCACAAGACACATTGATCGTATTGGGACACAATTAACCACAAGACACATTGATCGTATTGGGATACAACTAACCACAAGACACATTGATCGTATTGGGATACAACTAACCACAAGACACATTGATCGTATTGGAACACAATTAACCACAAGACACATTGATCGTATTGGGACACAATTAACCACAAGACACATTGATCGTATTGGGACACAATTAACCACAAGACACATTGATCGTATTGGGACACAATTAACCACAAGACACATTGATCGTATTGGGACACAATTAACCACAAGACACATTGATCGTATTGGGACACAATTAACCACAAGACACATAGAAAGTAGTGGGAAACAACTGACCACAAGACACATTGATCGTATTGGGACACAATTAACCACAAGACACATTGATCGTATTGGGATACAACTAACCACAAGGCGCATTTATCGTATTGGGACACAATTAACCACAAGACACATTGATCGTATTGGGACACAACTAACCACAAGACACATTGATCGTATTGGGACACAATTAACCACAAGACACATTGATCGTATTGGGACACAACTAACCACAAGACACATTGATCGTATTGGGACACAATTAACCACAAGACACATTGATCGTATTGGGACACAATTAACCACAAGACACATTGATCGTATTGGGACACAACTAACCACAAGGCGCATTGATCGTAATGGGACACAACTAACCACAAGACACATTGATCGTATTGGGACACAATTAACCACAAGGCGCATTGATCGTATTGGGACACAATTAACCACAAGACACATTGATCGTATTGGGACACAACTAACCACAAGACACATTGATCGTATTGGGACACAATTAACCACATAGCGCATTTATCTATTGGGATACAATAAACAAACTGCAAGAAACACTGATCGTATTGACACACAAAAAAAACTACGAGATACATTGACGGTATTAGAACACAATTATTCAATTACGATATTGGGACACAATAGCCAATATGACATATTTGCTGTACAGAGACACAATAAACTTTATGGCATATTTGCTGTATAGAGACGCAATAGACTATATGACCTATTTGCTGTATAGAGACACAATAAACTTTATGGCATATTTACTGTATAGGGTCATTATACAAATATAACTTTCTTATGTAAATCACTTAATAATTTATCATTCATGGCAAGGTCATAGATATGTACCTTGAGTGAACTACAGAAGGGCGAGTACAAAGGAGAAAACCAGTACAAACACCGCAGTCTTTGTTCTCGTCCCTGTGTTGGTATCAGAATTCTCACAAATGTCATCATAGTCACAGTTGATAAACTGTCTATAGTGTTCCTTCACTGTCCTATAGGGACACATACTGGCACCACACGCCGGGATGTCCACTTCCTCCTCGTTGACCAGCATCTTGACCATGTAATCCGTGCCGCATTTGTACAACGTGATGACAAGATTAGCTGAGAACGGAAGTATGATACTAGCTCGAAAATGTCGGTCGGCATTAGCCAAATAGTCCGTGGCGAGAAAAGTGTTGGACCCGTTAAAAAGACCCAATGCAGTGTACATGGAGAAAACCGGCACCACATGCGTAAACCGGAACGAGGCTACAGATCTACAAGTACAAATTAATAAGTAATAGAAAGCTACACGGAGACTTAAGAAATATCTGAGTAGTCCAGGAATTAACCATTTGTGATGTAACCACTGTATGAATTGCTTTTTCAAAGCATCATACGTTTACAATCTATGGACAATAATGCGTCCGTATTCGCAAGTAGTAAATTTCCCACCAGTAAATTTACTGGTGACCTGAATTTTAACTGAATTGTCTTATATAGTCATCAAAGGTGAAGGTCACCGCCGTGTGTTGGAGATGGAAACAAACAGTATATATATATATATATATATATATAAGACATTATATCTGTAGAACACATTGATGTTAACAATATTCTACAAAACTTAATCAACTAGACGTGTATAGTTTTACCTGTCAACAGAACCCCTGACCACTTTGTCCATCTGTTCTAATATGTTCCTGAAGAGAGGACACGACATCTGAGCAGTGATCTTGTGTCGATATCCGCCTATAATGTTACTCTGTAAAATAAAACAGGAAACTGAAATTCTTAAGACTTTAAAAAGAACTAGAACTAGAAAATGTCTGTAAGACAACTGACCCGCCGTCGCCGCCGCCGCCGCCAAGGCCTAGACCTTGGACTCCTGAAACACAACAATGAGTGCATACTAATACTTGATTTTAGCATAAAGATTTACCGAATTCCATTAAAGAATGAATTTTTTAAATTGAGTTTCTATTTATAGCATGGGTAACCTTGTCCTTGCCCCAATCCCCACTTCCCCGTAACCGTCGATACTCTAGTGTAAGTGTTGATACCCTACTGTGCTACTGTATAGGAAACACCACAATAACACAATTGTAACTGTAATTGTATTAATGTGTGTTTTAGGGCTTTTCACCTAAAGGCGTGATTTTCGACTTTGACGAAAAACAATGGCCGCCATGACGATATAGTTTAATTTTGCCCTAACGTCAATATCTCAATAATAGCCCCGGAATACTGAGGTAGTTATATACCCTTACCTCTATATCCCCGGCGTAGTCCATCACCTCCAGCCCCGGAATACTGAGGTAGTTATATACCCTTACCTCTATACCCCCGGCGTAGTCCATCACCTCCAGCCCCGGAATACTCAGGTAGTTATATACCCTTACCTCTATACCCCCGGCGTAGTCCATCACCTCCAGCCCAGGCGTAGTCCATCACCTCCAGCCCCGGCGTAGTCCATCACCTCTAGCTCCGGAATACTGAGATAGTTATATACCCTTACCTCTATATCCCCGGCGTAGTCCATCACCTCCAGCCCCGGAATACTCAGGTAGTTATATACCTTTACCTCTATATCCCTGGCGTAGTCCATCACCTCCAGCCCCGGAATACTAAGGTACTTATATACCCTTACCTCTATATCCCCGGCGTAGTCCATCACCTCCAGCCCCGGAATACTGAGGTACTTATATACCCTTACCTCTATATCCCCGGCGTAGTCCATCACCTCCAGCCCCGGAATACTGAGGTAGTTATATACCCTTACCTCTATACCCCCGGCGTAGTCCATCACCTCCAGCCCCGGAATACTCAGGTAGTTATATACCTTTACCTCTATATCCCTGGCGTAGTCCATCACCTCCAGCCCCGGCGTAGTCCATCACCTCCAGCCCCGGAATACTGAGATAGTTATATACCCTTACCTCTATATCCCCGGCGTAGTCCATCACCTCCAGCTCCGGCGTAGTCCATCACCTCCAGCCCCGGAATACTGAAGTAGTTATATACCCTTACCTTTATATCCCCGGCGTAGTCCATCACCTCCAGCTCCGGAATACTGAGGTAGCTACACCAGTCGGACGAGTTGAAGAAGGCGAGCTCGTACACACATATCTTTTTAATCATCATCACCTGATCTAAATTTGAAATAGAAAATAGAGACATATCGATTTCTTTCTGATCAACATTCCATAGCCATCTGATATACAGTCAAAGACAAAGAAAGACAACTCACAAACCGACAGGTTGAAGTGGCCGCTGAGAACGGCGTTGTTGACATCGGATACCACTTTGGTCATTTCGGGTCCATGCAGAAATTTGTCGTATTCTTCGAATGTCTCATCCTTGTTCATGAGATTCTGGTACAATTTACAAGTGTCGTAGAATCGTAACATCAGATTGTCAAGAGTGACCGGTATGGAGATGTTAGTGCCGAGTTTATCACCCAGTCCCTTCTGAAAATAGGTCACACTGTCTCTGGTTCTATCCTTCTTGGACGAGTAAAACATTATTTTGTCATTTTGACCATTGAGGAGACTTTGGTATCGGGAGCTAAGTCTCTCTCCGAGAACCGTCATTTCCTGCTGACCAAGAGCAGACAGCTGAGCTTGCTTGTCATCTGTGAAGGCATTTACCCAATCCAACACGAACTGATTAATGCCACCTCCGGTACTTAAGAGCGTGCGTAGTTCATTCATCCGGTTAATGGATTCCAGCAACGGATAACGTGCACCATGTCTGTACAACCCGTCCACATACACGGCACGACATGTTTGTCCGTTGTATTGTGCTGACGTCAGATCAGACATATCCATGTTCTGTCGGGACCACAGATATGGCGTCTTTACTCCAAATAATTCCCGACCGAAGAAATTGTTACTTGTTCTCGCAAGGCTACAGACTGTAGTGGCGGCCAATGTCAGCAGAAACACTCGCGTTAGTTTGTGTCCTGTCATTTTACTATAGCTATCCAGCATAGATGTTACTGATGCACACATACAGATGCACACATACAGATGCCCGGATAGAAGTATTCTAAATATTTAACTCCTGGCATTCATTTACTGAACTTACAAGATAGGTATAGTCTAGTGATACTGGTCGTAAGAGCTGCTAAACAAATCGTGTATAGCTAACGCTACCAACTCGTTCCTCGCACCCGGGCACGTGTTTACACTCTGGCACAAGCGCATATCTTTTTCAGTAAAGTGCTTACCGTCGACTGCTTGAGTGTTCGATAGTGCATCTTACAGACGCTATTGTGTGTCACTTAAACAGATCAGTGAAATTCTAGTTATGACTAATCTCTATCGAAAACGTTATCTATGTAGACACAAGTGTTTAATTATGAAGGTCCCTACCGTAAGTTATCTTCCAACACACACCTGCATTAAATATGTACTTCCCTACCGTAAGTTATATCCCAACACACACCTGTATTAAGTTATGTTTGTCCCTACCGTAAGTTATAGATCCCAACACACACCTGTATTAACTATGTACTTCCCTACCGTAAGTTATATCCCAACACACACCTGTATTAACTATGTATGTCCCTACCGTAAGTTATATCCCAATACACACATGTATTAAGTTATGTATGTCCCTACTGTAAGTTATATCCCAACATACACCTGTATTAAGTTATGTATGTCCCTACCGTAAGTTATAGATCCCAACACACACCTGTATTAACTATGTATGTCCCTACCGTAAGTTATATCCCAGCACACACCTGTATTAACTATGTATGTCCCTACCGTAAGTTATATCCCAACATACACCTGTATTATGCTATATAGTCGGAAGTTATATCCAGCAATCACTAGAGGTCACCAATATCACATTTTGTGATATGAAGTAAATCTGGCGAGAAGATGTCGAGGCGACAAAAGAACATCCATAATCATTTTGTAAACTCTTACTAAAAGTGAGTCGAGATATCGTTCCTTTATATATAATACAGGTAAATCTTGCCGTCTTGCTGCCTTATCCAGGTGAATTCACAGTCCAGTTCACTAATCAATGCCACGACCAATAATCCCCTCCGACCGGCAGCTCCCGGCGAAAAGTGTGGACAATAGGTACAGGGCTCTAACAGTTAGCCCAGGGTAAATTAAGATGATTTGGGGTATTTTTTCGAAGTAAAACCAATTTCCGTGTAAAAGTAACCATAACTTTAGTATGCAAATACATGAAACAAGAATTCAGCCCTCCCTACAGTCCCATGAGCCATTACGAAAGGCATAGTAACCTCTTTCCTCTGATATCTTTCTGAAGCCCGAAAAAGGGGCAGTCAGGTAGAGAAGGAAAGAAGAGGAAAGGGTGGGACTCCGTTAAGTTATGGTGAAAAAAATTCAATTTCATTTCAGTAATAATTACGATAACTTTAGTATGTGAGTTTGTCTTACCGTGGTGGAGAATTCGACGCAAGGCAGCTCATCACGGCACAGCACAACCCAGAGAAAATTACTGGTGGGGAGAGAAAGGTTCAGGGAACCCCAAAAAAGTGCAAAAACCGGAAAGAAATTCGAAAATACCTCCCCGTAAAGGATTAGGTGTTCCAACATGTTGCACAAGAATAAGAAATATCCTAGATTACTGAGGAGATACAGCCACTGAGCCATCACCAGAGGTCAAAGAGAATACTGACCCTCACAATCAGAAGCCAAGGACATCATATAGAAATCTGTGAAGGTATTCCTGCAACACCAGAAGGCAGCAGACATGACCTTCTGAACTCATGAGTCCGCAACCTCGCCCGAGCCTGATCATCAGAATGCTCGTGAGCATGCCTGAATACCAAGCAAACCCATCTTGACACAGACTGGGATGAGGTGTCCTGATGACCTTGTTTAATGGGCAGACGGGATCGAGGCGGGATAGAGCACCCCCTCCCCCTAATTTTATCGTGTTAAAACCTAAGTGTCCGACAGGGAGAGAGCAATATATTATGCTCCTCAGGACCAGTCAAGGCCGGAATCCTAATGGGATCGGACAAAAAACTAGGAACTTGGTTCTTCGCCTAAAAGGATAGATCGATCAGAAGGATTACAGCAGAATAACCTATGGACCAGCGTAGGCAGAGAGGAAGTGAAGATAACGCATTGACTTCGCTCCTAACGGCCTTTATAAAGGCTTCTAAAACAAGGCAGGCTCCAAAGGCTCATAAGGAGCCCGCATCAGAGAATCCAGCACAGGTGCCAGATTCCACTGCGGGACCAATCGCTGAATCCTGGGCCAAACAAAAGCAAAGCATCTATCACTGTTCTACCATAAAAAGCAAGGACACTGGCAATAACCGTACGGTAACCGGCTGTAGTGCCAGGGGCAAGATTGCGGTCCTTGAAAAAGAAAATCCGCAAACAACCTTGAACGGATCAATCTTTCCACCGACACAACAATCACAGAAGATCTTTCAGCCTGATTGGTAAACGGTAGAATAGGAATCCCGGATAAATCGCGCGATGCGATCTGACACCTTTTGAGAAAAGCCTGTCTGAGAGAGGCTTCCTGAGATAGCCTCCACGCGTGAACGTTGAGGATCTCTGGACGAGAGTGCATCGTCCTGGACCAAGACTGGCGAAGGAGATACGATCTGATGAGGCAAGCCAACGGCTCCTCCGCAAGAATCGACAATAGCTCCAGAAACTATGGTTGCCTCGACCTCGGCAACATGAGTGCCAACATAAGTAAGGAACAATGATGCTACCGAAACTTCTGAGCGGCCACTGCCCAGGTTTTCTGATGATCAGAAACCTTAGACTTATTTAGAGCTTTAGCTCTAAATTATATGTCCTATGTCCTTTTGTATGTAAAGTTTATTCCACTAACCGTTGTTACATTCAACAGAAGGACGACAAACACTCTTAGGAAGTTCTTGATGATTTCATTCGGATTATGATACAATAAATACGGGTTAAATGTTGGAACTATTAATTTGAAGGGATCAAAGTCTTTTATCAGCCCTTACCGGATCAAAGTACTTCCAATCGGAAACTATAAACATGCATCCGTGTTGTTGGAATTGAGTTTTAGCTATATATAATGGAAGTTTTACTTTAATAATGGAAACGTAATCTATAATAGTAGAGAGAGCATGATTACACTGGATATCAGCACAGATACTACAGTTCTCGTCCCAGTGTTGGTATCAGAATTCTCACAAATGTTATCATAGTCACAGTTGATAAACTGTCTATAGTGTTCCTTCACTGTCCTATAGGGACACATACTGGCACCACACGCCGGGATGTCCACTTCCTCCTCGTTGACCAGCATCTTAACCATGTAATCCGAGCCGCATTTATATAAGGTGGTGACCAGATTCGCAGAGAACGGAAGTATAACACTACTACGGTACTTCCGGTTGGCGTTTACTTGATAATCCGTGGCAAGAAAATGTTTGGATCCGTTGAACAAACCCAGTGCGGTGTAAACAGGGGACACCGAACCCGAATGACCAAACCGGAACGAGGCCAGGGATCTTCAAAAATTTATACATATTTATTTACAACGCTATTTACAACATTTTAGCGTAGGATCTTCCAAGAACTAAACATATTCATTTAACTGTGCCGTTATAAAGGTATTTAGCTTTAGATCTATAAGGAATTAAGCAGATCTATTTACAGTGCCGTTATAAAATCATTTTAAGCAAACTATTGTAACAATATGTAGTTTAATCCGGATCTAATCTAAGATAGAAGTTAAATATTCTTTTCAAACATGCAGGAGGTTTCTAATTTAGTCATTATCTCATTCCAAGGAATACCAACTGAGGCTATATATTTATGAACCAATATGATCAGTGATATCGTTTGTTTTTATGTGACGCTGATTTTTTTCTCTTTCTCTGTTATCAAGTTACCTGTTGGCCTGGTTAGTTACTACGTTGTCCATCTGCTGAAACATGTGTTTGAACAGTGGACACGCCATCTGCGAAGTGATCTTGTACCGGTATCCGTCTTCTATGTTTTTCTGCATGAACGAAAAATAAGCCACCGTAACTTAGATAATACTTACATGCCTGACGTACAGCAACATTGAATGCAACACTATCCATGTTTAACCTTCGGATTTATGGTAACAATTGTGCACGTGAAACGTGAAAAACTACGTGTAGAATATATAACTTACAGACAAGTCAATAATACATCTACCTCAGTCGCAACTCATTACAGATGATATCAATAAACGGAATGAGTCTCTAAATGAATGTGATTCATCAACTCGAATAAACCTGGTAAAGTTCAACGCGGGAAATTCATGTGTTCTATAACGCCAGCGTAGTCCATCACCTCCAGCCCCGGAATACCGAGGTAGTCATATACCCTTACCTCTATATCCCCGGCGTAGTCCATCACCTCCAGCCCCGCAATGCTGAGGAAATTACACCAGTCAGACGAGTTGAAAAATCCAAGCTCGAACGCACATATCTGTTGTATTGTCGCCACGTGATCTAAATTGACAACAGAAAACACGAACATTTTATTCATGGTGTTGCTTGCTTGAAATTTCATTCTCAGTAGTAATACCAGACATGATTTATTTTTAAAAAGACAACTCACAAACCGACAGGTTGAAGTGACCGCTGAGAACGGCATTGTTGACATCGGATACCACTTTGGTCATTTCGGGTCCATGCAGAAATTTGTCGTATTCTTCGAATGTCTCATCCTTGTTCATGAACGGCATTGTGTCGTAGAATCGTAACATCAGATTGTCAAGAGTGACCGGTATGGAGATGATGGTGCCGAGTTTATCACCCAGTCCCTTCTGAAAATATGTCGCACTGTCTCTGGTTCTATCCTTCTTGGACGAGTAAAACATTATTTTGTCACTTTGATCATTGAGGAGACTTTTAAATCGGGAGCCAAGTCTCTCCCCGAGAACTACCATTTCCTGATGTCCGAGAGCAGACAGCTGAGCTCCTTTTTCTGCTGTGAAGGCATTTACCCAATCCACCACGAACTGATTAATGCCACCTCCGGTACTTAAAAGCGTTTGCAGTTCATTCATCCGGTTAATCCATTTGGGACTTGGATAACGCGCACCGTGTCTGTATAGTCCGTCCACATACAGCGCACGACATGTCCGTCCGTTGTGCTGTACAAACGTCCTGTCTGTCATATCGACGTTCTGTCTGGACCACAGATAGGGTGTTTTCGTCCCGAACAATTCCCGACCGAAAAAATCGGTGTTTGATCGCACGATATTGAGACTGGCGATCAGAATTAGATTTCCCAACGTTTGTATACCTCCTGCCATTTTCACCAGACCTACAACATCTGTGTAATAAACGAGCAGGTTTACTGACAGTGGAGAGTTTAATTATCAGCCCCGGGCACATACATACCTGCTAAGCCAGCAAATATCACTGTTAAACAAGTATACACGGGATAATAAATGCTTCTCCAGTGTCCGTTTTATTAGAAGAAGCATTCAGGTTTCGGATATCAAACAATTTACCTTAAGAAATCGTCTCAAACCAGATTTGTATTGCTTTAGTAATTTCCTGGTCACATCAACATCCTATCACATCAAGATAGACAAAAATCGAAGAAATTGGAAGGAGAACACAGATCCCAAAGCAGTGGGTCCAACAAATTTGATTTGGGGAAGGATCATCTAGAGTGTATTGTGCAGCTCTGTATCCCCACATTAGTCTCCTCACAGGATACAAATATACTCCATGCTTCTTGCTCGGTTTTTTTTTTGTTTGAGGAAAAATGAAAATGATAAATAAAATGCGTATTAACGAGAAGTGTTTGCATAATTCAGAGAAACTAACGCATTATTCATTTATTCCCTTATGTCCTTATTAAACATGCTGATTTTAATGAGTAAATACATGAAACACGACAGGTTAGCGCTTGTTTTTTTTTTTTGTTATGTTTTGTGAGGATGGGGATGGGGTAATGCAAATTTGACTGGTACTAATACAAATCGTTTATTATGGCGATTATTCCTATTTTCAACCTTTAAGATGTACCATTTTTGTGGTTCTGTGAATTCGTATCTACTCTATAACACTAGATGTTTAAAACGTGATAATGTAATCTACCAGTCAGTTCGTGATAACGCAAACAATATGTTAAAGAAAGCATTTTGTCGTTGTGACATGCATTCCTGCCATTTTCATTTCACGCCCTCATCATCCTAGGTTTTCTTGATGTGTAGTTCCTGACCTAAGGTTCGGACATGGCAAGGCCAGAGGTGTAGGACCACATATATTCCGGTTCCACGAGGGCAAATATGAACAAAACAAAAATGTACACGGAGAAAAGTTCAAAAGAAATAAGTGCATTTTAATGCTTAATCTTGGTTAACCCAAATTATAAGGACCATGTATATCTAAGCTATTAATATTTCACTGAAGATACTATAATAGATATGCTTTCGCCATCTTAACACTTGAGATCTTGATATTTTCTTTCTTTCTTTGCTTGATTTTCCACTCTTGGTATCCCTCGGACTGCCGCCGTCATATGACCTTGGCTCGACTCGAGTTGTGAGAACCTTAAACACGGAAATACAAAACAATATTTTCTGTGTACCTAACCAAAAAATCTTTAAAGTGATATGCTTTTAAAGGGGCGTAACTCTGACATATTTAGAAATTAACATTTATAAGCCTCTAAAATAGGACAAAAAACACGGATAAAGTCCATTAATTCATACACGTGTCATAAACCTACTAACTAAAAACAGAGCTGTGTATATACGTCTCTGCTAAAATGTAAAACATTAACGGGACGCTCCGACTGATTAACGACTTTATAGGAGATGCGGATGTTTTGAAATCCCTGTGGCAGTCGTACCTTTTGGCCACTGTTACTGTTTATATCCGCCCATGATGTCATCAGATAAGACTTTACAAATATCAATGAATACAACATATATAGCTTTTGTAATACAATAGTTTACACATATAACAATACAAATACCCTTTACACATAAAACACAGTCTGTCGATACACATGCACAAGGACACATAGATACTAATGATACTCATAAACGCTGTTAATTATACATGTTAATCAACGTGTAAAATCTTATAGTCCCAGCAGACCGGCGGAGTAAAATCATATAGGGAAATATGGTCACCAGGACACGCCCTCAAATAACAGCGCCGTAACCGTTCTTGTGGATTGCTGTCGCGTCATACTAACGTGACTGAGCGATCTATTTGCACCTGCATTCATCCATAAACGCCTACCTGTGTATGTTTGTGTCGAAACTAATCAGCAGTGATAAGTGTGTTGATCAGGGTTTCCCATTAACATGTCAGGATGTCTTTTTCCATCAACCGTTTCTTGTGCTTAGTGTTCCTTTTAGTTGCGTTCTTTGAAAAGGTAGATGCTGCTTTTCCCAGCCACACCGGGGTAAGTACATCAAATTTATCAGATACATCCAAACCTTGGGCTGACATTGCTTTAACAGCTTTGCTTTATGACAAAGGGTATGTGCTTAATGAACATGTATTTTGTAATCGCTGTTGAAGAATTAACTTAGTGTTGTGCGCGAGATGCCAACTCTTCACGATAGCCATATACAATGTATACTTCTTACAAATTTCACCGCTTAGCCAAAACCCTGATACCAAACCCCATCCTTGACGCTAAACCCTACCTTAAACGCTACACTAAGCTCCATCCCGACACCAGGTCCCATCCCTAACACTATGAACTACCCCTGGCACCAGACCCCACCCTTGACACCAGGCCCCACCCCTAATACCAGGCCGCATCCATGACACTACGCCCATCCCTTATAGTGTCCCTTGACACCAGACCGCACCCTTGACCAAAGGCCACAACCATACCACTAAGCCCATTCCTAACAGCAGTCCTTGACACCAGGCCTCGCCCCTAAATTACCATACCGATACCTGGACACTTGAGTCACACCCACTGGCCATGGACGTATACATAAAGCTAAGATTTTCCATGACTAAGGTCTTAATTACTATCTACTATTGTACTGGTGTCAACACTATGTACACCGGCACGTAATAGTCGGTATTTTATAGTTCGCCTAATTTGGTAATAACGATGCAGATACTTCCGGGTTGGTTCTGTGAAGGCAAAAAATTAATTTAAAAAGTTGGACATTTAAACCATTGCGCACCGAGTAACTTTACCACGACATTTGGCGAGCAGTATACTGGGGCATATGTAGCTAGTAAAGCATATGAGTAAAGCCATTGATTGTGTGAGGAATGTATTGTCTTGTCGGGGAAAAAACCCAACTCTGCATTTGTATTTATCTTCAGGGCTCTGTTTTCGTATTAAGGAAACTAGTTTCGTTGTCTAATGAACACTGCTTGATCAATCGATCCTTCCGATACTCGACCGGTATCACAGTGTGTATTTAGAATCGACTTACAATTATTTCACACTGAAAAAAAACTCGCGTGCTCGAATAAGGAAACTTAAAGTGAAAACCATGTATATATGATACAGGTAAACGAGAGCATGGATCAATGTGACATGCAAAACATAAACAATACAGTGTCTATATATACCAGTGTTTCTGGCATCGGCTCACAACGATAGATAATTCATAGGCTGTGAATGACGAGTACACATCGTTTCAGAGGGTTTTACATTTGTTATATTTTTAATGAATTGTAGTTGTTGATAAATTGTTCTTTTAAATAAAGTGTAGTACATCTAAGAGGAAGTGTATGTACAGCCCTGGGAGAGGACACGTGCCCAGCATGTTCTAGGTACAGCTGTGGGAAAGGGCACGTGTCCAACATGTTCTAGGTACAGCTGTGGGTAAGGATAAGTGTCCAACATGTAACTGATTCAGTTTCGGTAAAGTCTCCAAATGCCGCTCGATCCCATCCCAGAAATCGAGGTCTCATGTCTACCTAAACGTTTCGTGCACGTCTCTATTTTATCTACTCTAATAGTAGGCACTACCTAGGACCGCACGCAGTGTAATCATTACTATGAGATGGTGATGCACTGCCTAGGACCGTGCGCAGTGTAATCATTACTATGAGATGGTGATGCACTGCCTAGGACCGTGCGCAGTGTAATCATTACTATGAGATGGTGATGCACTGCCTAGGACCGTGCGCAGTGTAATCATTACTATGAGATGGTGATGCACTGCCTAGGACCGTGCGCAGTGTAATCATTACTATGAGATGGTGATGCACTGCCTAGGACCGTGCGCAGTGTAATCATTACTATGAGATGGTGATGCACTGCCTAGGACCGTGCGCAGTGTAATCATTACTATGAGATGGTGATGCACTGCCTAGGACCGTGCGCAGTGTAATCATTACTATGAGATGGTGATGCACTGCCTAGGGCCGTGCTTAGTGTAATCATTACTATGAGATGGTGATGCACTGCCTAGGACCGTGCGCAGTGTAATCATTACTATGAGATGGTGATGCACTGCCTAGGACCGTGCGCAGTGTAATCATTACTATGAGATGGTGATGCACTGCCTAGGACCGTGCGCAGTGTAATCATTACTATGAGATGGTGATGCACTGCCTAGGACCGTGCTTAGTGTAATCATTACTATGAGATGGTGATGCACTGCCTAGGACCGTGCTTAGTGTAATCATTACTATGAGATGGTGATGCACTGCCTAGGACCGTGCTTAGTGTAATCATTACTATGAGATGGTGATGCACTGCCTAGGACCGTGCTTAGTGTAATCATTACTATGAGATGGTGATGCACTGCCTAGGACCGTGCTTAGTGTAATCATTACTATGAGATGGTGATGCACTGGACCGTGCTAATCATTACTATGAGATGGTGATGCACTGCCTGCTGCAGTGTAATCATTACTATGAGATGGTGATGCACTGCCTAGGACCTGCCTGTGAGATGGTGATGCACTGCAGTGTAATGCCTATGGATTGCCTAGGACCGTGCTTAGTGTAATCACTATGAGATGGTAATGCACTGCCTAGGACCGTGCTTAGTGTAATCAGTGTAATCATTACTATGATGCACTGGGACCGTGAGTGTAATCATTACTATGGCGATGCACTTGCCTAGGACCGTGCGCAGTGTAATCAGCTGCCTAGGACCGTGCTTCATTACTATGAGATGGTGATTAATGTTAGCTGTTTTGGAGTCCTTGTATTTTCTCAAACTAGAGAAATCAGAAGATATGTCAATATTTGTCAGTTTAATGCCAAATGGATTGAAATTCACACTTGTTAATTGTCACATGGACTAGCGATGATAGTTCTTGATAGGGACTGAATTAGTACAATTTTTTTTCTGTTCCGTATTTCAGTATAATTCATTTCGTATCACATCGATCTGTATTTTAGTATTTTCCGTTCCCGTTTTATAAAACGGAAACAAGATTAATATGAAATTTTGAAAAATGGATTTCTCCTGATTGGTGATACTCCTTATTCTTGAACAAGTTTGTTTTTGTATTACGACTCGCAAATTATTGATGTATGCTTGTTTTCATCTGATTTTTGCAGACTTTTTAGTATGTTTTAATTCTGGATTATTTTGTAACCAATCGACAATTTGTATAGATAGAAAATCAGGATCCTTAAGGACCATTTAATACTCTTCTCATGACATACAGAGAGATAGTCAGGATCCTTAAGGACCATTTAATATTCTTCTCACGACATACAGAGAGATAGTCAGGATCCTTAAGGACCATTTAATACTCTTCTCATGACATACAGAGAGATAGTCAGGATCCTTAAGGACCATTTAATACTCTTCTCATGACATACAGAGAGATAGTCAGGATCCTTAAGGACCATTTAATATTCTTCTCACGACATACAGAGAGATAGTCAGGATCCTTAAGGACCATTTAATATTCTTCTCACGACATACAGAGAGATAGTCAGGATCCTTAAGGACCATTTAATACTCTTCTCATGACATACAGAGAGATAGTCAGGATCCTTAAGGACCATTTAATACTCTTCTCATGACATACAGAGAGATAGTCAGGATCCTTAAGGACCATTTAATACTCTTCTCACGACATACAGAGAGATAGTCAGGATCCTTAAGGACCATTTAATATTCTTCTCACGACATACAGAGAGATAGTCAGGATCCTTAAGGACCATTTAATATTCTTCTCATGACATACAGAGAGATAGTCGGGGCCCTCAGGAACCATCTAATTTTCTTCTCGTGACCGACATTATGTAATTATTATGTAATTTTGTTATTTCATGTTATTTAATCTCTACAGAGATATTTACATCTCTGTTCTATATAATCATATCTGCTCTGCGAACAATGTTCAGACTTTTTTTCTGTTTTTAAATCTCCGCGTGAGATCACTGGGTTTTTTAATTGTTTAAACCGTCTGAAAGTTAAGTTAAACTAGTATCCACTCGCCACTAAAGAAACAACCGGTCTAAACGAAGGCTAATGGTTATCTTTATGAATGATACCGGGTATAACCTACAAAAACATGTTGTTGAGAACAGTCTCATACATACTTGGTACTGTATTACCTGGATAAGTACATGATGCTTCTGATCTGGTGTCTTCTGTAAAAAAAATCATAATAGTACATTGTAGAAAATAATTATATATAAACAGAAAAGTAGATTGTAGAAAACAATTATATATATATACACAAAAGTACATTGTAGAGAATAATTATCTATCAGGGACGTATAATACAGATTGTAGAAAATAATTTTATAAAACAGAAAAGTAGTTTGTAGAAAATAATTATCTATCAGGGACGTATAATACAGATTGTAGAAAATAATTTTATATAAACAGAAAAGTAGTTTGTAGAAAATAATTATATATCAGGGACGTATAATACAGATTGTAGAAAATAATTTTATATAAACAGAAAAGTAGATTGTAGAAAATAATTATATATCAGGGACGTACAATACAGATTGTAGAAAATAATTTTATAAAACAGAAAAGTAGATTGTAGAAAATAATTATATATCAGGGACGTATAATACAGATTGTAGAAAATAATTTTATATAAACAGAAAAGTAGTTTGTAGAAAATAATTATATATCAGGGACGTATAATACAGATTGTAGAAAATAATTTTATAAAACAGAAAAGTAGATTGTAGAAAATAATTATATATCAGGGACGTATAATACAGATTGTAGAAAATAATTTTATATCAGGGACGTATAATACAGATTGTAGAAAATAATTTTATATAAACAGAAAAGTAGTTTGTAGAAAATAATTATCTATCAGGGACGTATAATACAGATTGTAGAAAATAATTTTATAAAACAGAAAAGTAGATTGTAGAAAATAATTATATATCAGGGACGTATAATACAGATTGTAGAAAATAATTTTATATAAACAGAAAAGTAGTTTGTAGAAAATAATTATATATCAGGGACGTATAATACAGATTGTAGAAAATAATTTTATAAAACAGAAAAGTAGATTGTAGAAAATAATTATATATCAGGGACGTATAATACAGATTGTAGAAAATAATTTTATATCAGGGACGTATAATACAGATTGTAGAAAATAATTTTATATAAACAGAAAAGTAGATTGTAGAAAATAATTATCTATCAGGGACGTATAATACAGATTGTAGAAAATAATTTTATATAAACAGAAAAGTAGTTTGTAGAAAATAATTATATATCAGGGACGTATAATACAGATTGTAGAAAATAATTTTATAAAACAGAAAAGTAGTTTGTAGAAAATAATTATATATCAGGGACGTATAATACAGATTGTAGAAAATAATTTTATATAAACAGAAAAGTAGATTGTAGAAAATAATTATATATCAGGGACGTATAATACAGATTGTAGAAAATAATTTTATATAAACAGAAAAGTAGTTTGTAGAAAATAATTATATATCAGGGACGTATAATACAGATTGTAGAAAATAATTTTATATAAACAGAAAAGTAGATTGTAGAAAATAATTATATATCAGGGACGTATAATACAGATTGTAGAAAATAATTTTATAAAACAGAAAAGTAGTTTGTAGAAAATAATTATATATCAGGGACGTATAATACAGATTGTAGAAAATAATTTTATATAAACAGAAAAGTAGATTGTAGAAAATAATTATATATCAGGGACGTATAATACAGATTGTAGAAAATAATTTTATATAAACAGAAAAGTAGTTTGTAGAAAATAATTATCTATCAGGGACGTATAATACAGATTGTAGAAAATAATTTTATAAAACAGAAAAGTAGATTGTAGAAAATAATTATATATCAGGGACGTATAATACAGATTGTAGAAAATAATTTTATATAAACAGAAAAGTAGTTTGTAGAAAATAATTATATATCAGGGACGTATAATACAGATTGTAGAAAATAATTTTATAAAACAGAAAAGTAGTTTGTAGAAAATAATTATATATCAGGGACGTATAATACAGATTGTAGAAATTAATTTTATATAAACAGAAAAGTAGATTGTAGAAAATAATTATTTAAATATATAATTAAATACAGCTTCGAATGTTGAAATTCAATAAAAGATCTGTCCTTACACAGAGACCGGTTTTTCTCTGTAACTTTATCGGTGTGTTATATATTCGTAGCTGGTGTATTTCGCGCTGCTGACTGTTCCGGAATCCATATTCGTTTCGTCATTTAGACATGTATCGTGTTGTGCCGGGTTGTGTAACAGGTAAGTTATTCGTCTCAAATGAAATGCTTATTGCAGCATGTAAGATATATGTCTGTAACCAGTTTATATCAAATTATAAACAATGTCGGGATAGTACGTCATTTACTTTATTTTAATATAATACGCTGTGGCACGTTTAACCACACATTTAGTATGTCGGACGACTAACAGCCGGCAGGTCAGTTCGGGACACATGGATAACATTCACTTGCAATTTGAAGGGTATTTAATCATTATTCGCTTATTTATTTGAATATTTCGCCGTAAGTTATCAGCATTACACTGTAGATAATTTAAGATACTTCTGGTAGATTTTATGATGATTCTGTTTACACATTGATCTCCATTTATCATTCTTATTTCCGTTTTATAACCACAGGTTTATATCAGATCAATCTCTGCACCACTGAAATAAATCTTCGAAATTTGCATAAATATGCGGAGTTTTGTAGGATCGTGTCCCTTAAACACATGTTCAAACACAGGCTATGGATATCCCGGAGCACATACTTCAGATTTGCTGTGTAGAAAAAGTTATCTCCCCCTGTCAAAATTGTTTATTACAGATGGAAAAAAATTGTCATATTGAACATATTGCAATAGTGATATATCTGTTATCTGAAACGAGTGAAAGGGAGATATGTATATAACACATATTATTTAGGACTGTGATGAGAAGGTAAATATAACTTTGGACAATATTCACTTTCAAAAGATTCACTTTCGTTACCAACAAATAACATTTACTTCAAGCATAATTGAGCAAAGTTACTTCCCTTGTCCTGTTTACAGACGATGAAATATGGTGTGAATTATTTCTCTTATGTATATATTACCAATATTATTCATTTCTCAGTAAAATGAACATCTATACATGTGTCAATGTTTCAGGACAACTGAATCAAGATGTCAACAATAAAAACCAGAACAACATTTTCATTTGCGAAGTACATGAAGGAGTTAGGCATCATGATGATTGGTGGCACGTTAGCATTTACTGGATTTGAGACAATATCAGGAGGGGAAAAATTTTATAAAGAAGTGTTGATGCCCTCTTTACAAATGCTAGATGCAGAGACAGCACACAGATTTGCTGTGAAGGCTGCTAAGTACAAGATGGTACCCAGACAATGGACTCCAGATCCACCCTCCCTTAGCACAACCGTGTTTGGTCGAAAGTTCAAAAACCCTGTAGGACTGGCAGCAGGATTTGACAAGGATGGAGAGGCAGTAGAAGGGCTCTTGGCTATAGGCTTTGGCTTTGTGGAGGTTGGAAGTGTCACACCGCAGCCACAGCCTGGTAACCCACCGCCCCGTGTTTTCCGTCTGCGGGAAGACAATGCAATTATCAATAGGTACTATTTTTCATTGTCAGATAGGTATTAATAGACCTGATTCTGGGGAAAAATATCTTCCAGTAAGCTAACAATTTGGTGTTATCTAATTCTAGAACATAGCTTTTTGCCTAGGCTGGTACTGTCAAATAAAAAGGTAAATACCTCGGATAAGCTGTGGTTCATGTAGGATCATCTTTTAAGGGATGATTTTCTGATACAGCCGAAAGTTTACTATCACAATTTCCACGAGAGGTGTATGTTTTACATTTTGTGGATTTATGTTTCAAACCATCCCCCTTTTTTTTTAGATACGGGTTCAACAGTGAGGGGCATGCAGCAGTGCTACAGAGACGAGTTCAGGACAGGGAGAGACCAGGAGCTATGAAAGGAGTAGTCGGGGTTAATCTGGGCAAAAATAAGGAGTCGCCTTCACCTATAGGGGATTATGTTGAAGGCGTGAAACAGTTTGGAGGTGTGTCAGACTATCTTGTTGTTAACGTGTCTAGTCCTAACACACCAGGACTGCGAGATATGCAGGGCAGGGAGCGACTGGAAAAGCTTCTAGACCAAGTGGTTGCAGCAAGGGATAATCTAAAGCTTGACCAGAAACCACCTATTCTCGTCAAGATCGCACCAGACCTCACACAGAAGGACAAGGAGGATGTGGCAGCAGTAGTGACAAAGCGGGAGGGCTTCATAGATGGTTTCATAATAAGTAACACAACAATATCTCGACCTTCTAGCTTACAAAGTGACCACAAGGTAGAAACAGGTGGACTTAGTGGGGCCCCTCTTCGGACACTAGCCACAGACACCATATCTGACATGTACAGACTGACCAAAGGTAAAATACCCATTATTGGTGTGGGAGGTATCGCTTCCGGCCAAGATGCTTATAATAAAATCAAAGCAGGAGCTAGTCTGGTGCAGTTATACAGTGCCTTAATTTATGGTGGGCCGCCAGTGGTCAGTAAGATTAAGAGAGAACTTGGACAGCTACTGGAGGCTGATGGTTTTTCTTCTGTAGCAGAGGCTGTTGGTGTTGATCACAAAGCGACATGATGTTTAGTTTATTTTACAATGATGTGCTCAATAAAAAGAAAATACAAAACTCATTTTTGTTGTAGTGTTCCTTGTTGTCGCTCCCCTTCCCTAGTCGATATTTGTTGTTGTCTCTTGCATTCTCAGTATTTTCCATATTTACATATTTTGTCTTAATCTATTAAAGTTCTATCCAACAACCTCTGTCTCTCTTCCTTCAGATTATGGCATTACTTTCTTAAAATATATGGACAAAGGCAATACTGGTACCTTCCCATTGTATTAAGTGCACAGTGGATTAAACAATACGGTCTCTGAACCTGAAGATATCGAAAAAGTGTCATGTGCGATTGTGTTATAACTGGCTACTCAAATCAAATAAAACATTCTCATTGGACAAAGTTTGGTATGACATATTAGTGTAGCTATTCTGTCATAAAGGACAACAAGAGTATGACATATCACTGAAGCTAGGTTATGACATATTACCGTAGCCAGACTGTCAGAAAGGACAACAAGGGTATGACATATCACTGAAGCTAGGTTATGACATATTACTGTAGCCAGACTGTCAGAAAGGACAACAAGGGTATGAAATTACTGTAGCCTGTGTGTCAGAAAGGACAACAAGGGTATGACATTACTGTAGCCTGTGTGTCAGAAAGGACAACAAGGGCATGACATATTACTGTAGCCTGTGTGTCAGAAAGGACAACAAGGGTATGACATATCACTATAGCCAGACTGTCAGAAAGGCAACAAGGGTATGACATATTACTGTAGCAAGTCTGTCAGAAAGGACAAGAAGGGTATGACATATTACTGTAGCCAGACTGTCAAAAAGGACAACAAGGGTATGACATATTACTGTAGCCAGACTGTCAGAAAGGACAACAAGGGTATGACATATTACTGTAGTCAGTCTGTCAGAAAGGACAACAAGGGTATGACATATTACTGTAGCCAGACTGTCAGAAAGGACAACAAGGGTATGACATATTACTGTAGCCAGTCTGTCAGAAAGGACAACAAGGGTATGACATATTACTGTAGTCAGTCTGTCAGAAAGGACATCAAGGGTATGACATATTACTGTAGTCAGTCTGTCAGAAAGGACAACAAGGCTATGGCATATTATTGTAGCCAGTCTGTCAGAAAGGACAACAAGGGTATGAGATATTTCTGTAGTCAGTCTGTCAGAAAGGACAACAAGGGTATGACATATTTCTGTAGTCAGTCTGTCAGAAAGGACAACAAGGGTATGACATATTACTGTAGCCAGTCTGTCAGAAAGGACAACAAGGGTATGACATATTACTGTAGTCAGTCTGTCAGAAAGGACATCAAGGGTATGACATATTACTGTAGTCAGTCTGTCAGAAAGGCAACAAGGCTATGGCATATTATTGTAGCCAGTCTGTCAGAAAGGACAACAAGGGTATGAGATATTTCTGTAGTCAGTCTGTCAGAAAGGACAACAAGGGTATGACATATTACTGTAGCCAGTCTGTCAGAAAGGCAACAAGGCTATGGCATATTATTGTAGCCAGTCTGTCAGAAAGGACAACAAGGGTATGACATATTACTGTAGTCAGTCTGTCAGAAAGGACAACAAGGGTATGACATATTACTGTAGTCAGTCTGTCAGAAAGCACAACAAGGGTATGACATATTACTGTAGTCAGTCTGTCAGAAAGCACAACTAGGGTATGAGATATTTCTGTAGTCAGTCTGTCAGAAAGGACAACAAGGTTATGACATATTTCTGTAGTCAGTCTGTCAGAAAGGACAACAAGGGTATGACATATTACTGTAGTCAGTCTGTCAGAAAGGACAACAAGGGTATGACATATTACTGTAGTCAGTCTGTCAGAAAGCACAACAAGGGTATGACATATTACTGTAGTCAGTCTGTCAGAAAGCACAACTAGGGTATGACATATTACTGTAGTCAGTCTGTCAGAAAGGACAACAGAATTATGACACATTACGGTAACGGTTCAGCCCTATCATGGAGTTTTGTATTCGAGATTGAACAAGGGCAGGATTGGCATCTGTCACGTTTTGGTGTAAATTTTACTCCGTCATTATATGACAAATTGACGATTTTGGGCGTCCTGTATGATTTAGAGTAAGAAAACATTTCTAAAAATAGTACATGTGCACCAGGATCCGTTTTAAGTTACCAGTCACGCATTAGATGAGTGTCCTCAACAAGGAAGTGTCGTACTTCGCCGCTGTAATCACTGTGCTACAGGTCAACATGCAACGCTGTAAAATGACACAGAAAAAGGGGGACTTCATGAATATGGAACGATTCATTTAAAAAGAACGTTAATTTGTAAAGCGTCGGTGGTGTTGGATTAAAAAACAGTAGGTTTGTTATCGCATACCAGCACTTTGTCGATCACGACCAAGACAAAAATGGTGAAAAACATTTGGATAACTTACTGGCAATCCTGGCGATATTTCGGTAGAATAACAAAAAGAAATGTCACCAACACTTATAGGTCTACGGAACTTCCATCACATACGAACAGGGGACATTATATGTTAGTATCACTCCCTGATAATTTGTTTCTTTGTAATTTAATCAACGAATTGATTTACTTTTACCGCTTAAAGATGTTCTTTAGCTCTCACTCTATTAAGTACGTAGGAACGGACCCGAGGGAAGGGAGGGGTATCCTTTAATGGACCCGAAGGAATGGAGGGGTATCCTTTAATGGACCCGAGGGAAGGGAGGGGTATCCTTTTCTGGACCCGAAGGAATGGAGGGGTATCCTTTAATGGACCCGAAGGAAGGGTTGGGTATCCTTTTCTGGACCCGAAGGAATGGAGGGGTATCCTTTAATGGACCCGAAGGAAGGGAGGGGTATCCTTTTCTGGACCCGAAGGAAGGGAGGGGTATCCTTTAATGGACCCGAAGGAATTTGAAAGAGCGACCGCAAGTTACATTTTCCAATTAGTCTCAAAAATTAAAACGGATTAGAAAACATCGATAAGAACCTAGCCTATGAAGTTTTGATAGATATTATAACCCTGGTAAAATACTAGCTGCTAGAGAGAACTTCTCTTTAGCTCGATTGGTTGAGCGTGAGACTAGTAAGCCAGGGGTCCCGGGTTCGTTTCCTAGCGGAGGCATTGAGATGAAAAATGACCTCTGTTACAATAATGTATTCTTTTGTAGACCTTTTTTCGGACGGTATTCAAAACTTAACATCAAACACTGGGGTCAAGGAAAACCGGAACACACACGTTTGTGGAACGGATTCTTACGTTTCTTCCAAACATAGCGACAGAAAGCCTTTTTAATCAAAATTTAAGTGGCGAAATTGCGTCCTCTCTAACGCGAAATCCTTGATCCTCCCCTGTAAAGCGCTATGGGTTTCCATGTGCTGTCTTTATTACACTAATAGGAGACCTGGCCACCATAATAATCACAGCGAGCACCTAGAATTATAGAATTTTTCAGGTTGTGGTCCACTGGTGGATAAAGTTTGAAGAAAAGTTACATTTGCCACGTGTCATTAAAAGTAAATGGAGAATTCCTGACAACAGTGGAATTTTGTTCACGATGTCATTCAATATATAGCGAAACGACCATTAATTTCAGTTGCACAGTGGTATTGCCATTGTGGTCATGATGAAATATGGACATTCCAATACGGTCGTACATATGTTGAAAGTATACATACGTATCACTTAAATATATAATAACTGAATTTATTTTCTATGTCATACCAAATGAAAATACTGGGCATCTGTCTACATCTCCGAGTTATCTCCCTTCTCTTGTTTTGTAAGTTAATGTTACCATTTTATCTATAATATTAACATTTAATTGTTCCTTCGGGACCAAACATTCGCGTTGAGACGGTAAATATTAACATTTAATTGTTCCTTCGTGACCAAACATGCCTTAAGTTGGTCCCTGCCAATTTTAGATTGGTTCATGTGACGTTTGGTATTATGATCAAACATAATACGGTCTAGACATAGAGTAACGCTACATTTGAATCACATGGCCCATGTTTACATTGTGTTTTTTTTCCATACTATGTGTAGTCAAACCTTTCCACATTCAAACATGGTGTTTTACTTGAATTCCGAGGTGGTCTGTTACCTGTGTGTCCCATGCAACGGAAATTACACCGAGCCGGATCGTGTACTCATTTTCGGTCGGCTGTGTGTAAGCCGTAGTGTTCTTAGAATTTGTGAGTGATCTTCATGCTGTATGTAATTCATCGTTGTGGGTTTATTGGGGGTCGGTCTGCTTGTAAGTTGTCTGCAAAGAAGGTGTTGCTATCAAGCCTGTGATCGATGAAAATGAAAAACGCTTGAAGCATGTAGAAATGTTGGCTTCGATTTTATTCCAGAAAAAGCAATACTTCAAGTATGTCGCTAACACGCAGAAGTCAAACGAAGTACAACATGTTGATCGATGTATGTATCTAGATCAGACTACGGATGTGAGCATGTATGTAGTGAAAAACTGAAAGAACAAAATGAACACTCATAAGTCACTTACCAAAATTTGGGCACACAACACGAGTAATTGGGAAAAATCTACTACGGCTCATATTTAGCAAAAACATAGAAAGAACACGAAATCGAGATGGGAGCAAATAGTGGGTCGATTCAGGATGAAAACATTATGGGGCGAAATGGGACAGTGGAAAAATTGGCAAATTGGTAATAAGTTCCAACTTGTGTAGCGTATCAAAGGCAGTGACTATTTTACAACAATTGGAAGAACATAATTCTTCAACTTGTATGGGACAATAAACTCACTCTTTGGGGGACTAGAGACGGTAAAATTCCTAGAATTGTACTGTGTGAATCGCTCAGCGATGTAAACACGTCCGACATCTTGAAACGTTCAGCATACGATACAGATAATGGAAATCCCCGCTACCAAATATAGACAGGAGTTCCGAGAAGGGGGATAACCCTGCTACACTAACATGACACTCCCCGTCTGATTTCTAATCACTCAAGTTCATGAAAAGTTTCACAAGATCTATAACTTAGATCGAAATACGAATCGAGTCAACAGCAACTAAACACTGAA